CCCTGCTGCTGCCGATACAACACCACAACCACCAGTAGTCCTACCAGTACAACACCCGGGGAAAAAACCAAACCCACGCCGTGCACCCGAAGCGCATGCTCACCTGGCCTGGGCCCCCTCCTCAGCCCTGCGCTCCAGCGATGCCATGGCTCGGCCTCTTCTCCGCCCACGGCCCAGGCTCCCCAAAGAAGAACAAAAAAAGCCCCTAAACACCCATAAGTGCCGTGCCCATCACCGACCGTCACTCGGTTGCACATGCTCGCTCGGGACAATGCACATCTCATCATCAGATGCATCCTCTCTGCAGGCCCTCGTCACTCCTGCCACTGGGTGCCTCAACAGGCTGACAGCGGTCAATAGAGCTTGCTCCATCGCTCTACTCCCTCCTCTTCCTTCTCCTCCTCATCCTCTTCTTCCTCACCGTGCCTTACTGCAAAAAAACAGGGCACCTACCGTACAGGATGATGCTGGCGTTGGTGTTGCCCAGCTTGTTCGTGGCCACGCACGTGTAGTTGCCGTAGTCCTTCTCCGAGACGTTGAAGAAGGTCAGCGTGGACAGGCGGCCCTTGCTCTCGATCCGCACACCCTCCAGCCCGTTCGCTAACCTGAGGAGAAACGCGGACACTGGCACTCTGCGACCTGGCTTGCCCCCTCCCCTCCCACCAGCCGACACCGCTCTCCACCCGCACGTTCCCCTGCCAGCCTCCCCATGTCCCACCGCCCAAAAGCACTCTGCGCTCTCCATCCCGTAACCCATCTCCTGGCCTGAATTATGCGGCCCACATCAACCCCCATGAGCCACAGCTGCCAGCCTGCGGGAGAAAAGACTTGGGGATCCCCTCGGCCTTTAGCCGAGCGCTCAGACCCACCCAAAAAGGAGTTGATCCTAGCCTTCCTCCGCACAAGGCCCTCGTCCACCACTGGTCCCCTCCGCCTCATCCCCCTCTGGCCCCGAGGCTGGCATCGTTGTCCCCCGCCCTGGTCTCCCCCAGCTCCTCAGGCCCTCACCTGGTGTCCTCCTTGAACCACTGAAACTCTGCCACAGGGACGGCTGAGGCCTCGCACTGCAGGATGCCCTTCTGGCCCAGCGAGGCACCTGTGTTCTTGGCGTTCGAGATGTATGGAGGGTCTGCGGAGACGCCGGGCTGCGTCACGCCGGGCCACGCATGACCGCCCCACCCTGATACCCCCCCATCCCTTGCACTCACAGTTGACAGTGACTTTGACTTTCCGCACGTCCGGGACGGCCACGTCGTTGACGGCGCTGCACTCATACTCCCCGGACTGCTCCCGTGTGATGCCCGTGATCTCCAGGTACTCGTCCTCGCTCACAAAGCCCTGCCCTGGGAGACGTCCCGAACGCGTGGTGCCATTGCACGCGGATGCCAAGGCCGATGCCTCCCCCGTCCCCCTGCCCCGCCCTGCCCTGGGAGACGTCCCGAACGCGTGGTGCCATTGCACGCGGATGCCAAGGCCGGTGCCTCCCCCGTCCACCTGCCCAGCCCTTCCCTGACGCCCTCCACTTGGGTGTCTGCCATCCCCTTGGCCCAGAAAGCTCGGGCCATGGCTTACCAAGCACCCTCACCCCCAAAGCAGGCCATGTCAAAGGGCCAACACCTCCACCCTCCATGCCAGACACCGGCGGACAGCGGGCTGCTTTCGTGCCACCCTGGCCACCTCTACAGGGACATGTGTCCTTCCCACACGAGCCAGGCGAGACTCTTCCTCGGACCCAGGTGTCTAGTCCGGCGAGCCCTGAGCGTGGCCCCACCTTTCCCGGAGAGGTGCCGCCACGTGACGGTGGGCTCCGGTCTCCCGAAGGCCAGGCACATGAGCGTCACGCTGCTGCCTTCGTTCACGGTGATGTCTGAAGAGATGTTGACAATCTGGGGGGGAACTGCAAGTCAGAAAAAAAAAGTAAAGCCACTGTCAACACACCTGCTCGCCAGGCCCTGCCGGGCACGCCGCTGGGAAGCCCCAACCGCGAGACCCGCCCGATTGCCGGACAGCAGCAACTGCTCCATCGCCCTGTCCGGTCCTCAGCCCTGCGTCTCCAAACCAGCATCTTGGACCGGAGCTGAACACGGACCTGGGATGCGGAGGGGTCCGCTTGCCGGACCCCTGCACCGGGCGGGAGCCGGAAACACCAGCCCCTGCCGCAGCAAAGACCCCAAGAGGTGGCTCTTGTTACGGCCAACGGCAAAGCTCATACTTTAGCATATTTATTAAAGCTGCTGAAATTACTGAGCGTCTGCTTCATTCAATACCGGCCACAGTGATTTATACGACTCTATCCCCAGATACTCCATCTAATAAATAACTTTGCAATCTCTGCACCCATCAATATCCCTGGCCCTGGCAAAAAGCAATTAAAGCCCACTCGCTGCCATCACCACTGCTTGGCGCTTCGGACTCTCAGAGGCAGCCCCCAAAAGGGTCTGCGCCCCAGGGAGCGAACGAGGCTGTACAAAATGACGTGCCCAAAACTAAACACGACTTCTGCACCACCGGAAAGGATGCCCCGTTCCCTGAACGCATGCCATGCGCAGGCACCCTGACAGGCCAGACCGATCACAGACAGATGGATGGACAAGACAGCACTCTCACCGTAGACCTGCCTGGTGCTGGACTAAAGGTGCCAACGCAGCCGCAGCTGTGGGTCCATCAAGGCTGGCACTGGGGACGATTGCCATCTGACTGTCCTCCAGCAACACCACCCCTAGGACAGGGCCATGCTCTCTTGACCTGAAAAGGGGGTCACGCACACAAGGAGGGAGCCGGAGTTTGCATGGACCCCTTCACCCTGCCGGCCTTCTCCTGGCTCAGGACTGGCATCCCTTTTGCATCTCCTGAGTCCCAAAGCACAAGTACAGAGTGACAGGCAGAAGCTGGTGCTCTGGGCGCAGATGGGACCCTGTCCCCCTCCCGTGCACAGAACACTTCCATTTCTGCACCAAAAAAATACCGCTGCCGCTAACCACAACAGCCCCAACGTGCCCGTTCAGCAAACAACAAGCCACATGAAGACACGTGTTGCCCTAAAGTCCTTCCCTTAGCAGAGGATGGCGACACAGCGGACGGACACACCGGTAGGTCTCGCGGGGAGGGGGGAATGGCACCTCCTGAACCCCCTGGGCACAGTCCTGAAGCCGTGGGGGCCGGGGAAGCGCCAGCACGCCACACCGCACTGCCACCCACTCTAATCTAATCAGAAACGTCCCCAAGGACTGGTGGGGACGTGCAGCGGAGGGAGGCCTGTGGAGAGCCCGGGGACCCCGCTGGACAGCTCGATACCCTGCCACGAAGGCGATCGTTGCCTACGAGGTTACCAGGACTTGGAGAAGGACATTTAAGGACCTTTATTACATTTCTATAGATCCCACCAGCCAGGCTGTCAAGGCCAGCGTCTCAAGGGCATGCCGGCTTCGCCTTTGGAGGACTTAATCCCATGGCTGGCAGCAGACAAGACCAGAACACCGGCAGGCAGGATGAGTCTGGAGGCAAACCTGACCGTGGAGATCAAACTGACCTGCGGCCATGCCCTGTAAACACCATGAGGCAGTAGAGCCACGTGCACGGCACGCCGCTGCCCTGGCAAGCATGTCCTGCCAGAGCTGCCATGTCTCAAGACAGGGACAGCTCGGGATCGGTGCTGGGCACCGAGTCCAAAAGCTCTCCCGTCCCCCCATGGAGCCCTGCCGGTCCTCAAAGGGCCAGGTCAGAAGAGCCCTGTTCCTACTTTGTGGCCTGCTGGTGTGATAACGGATGCTGTGCCTAGTCATTTCCCTGTTGACAGCATCCTTTCCCTGGGTGACCTTTGGTTCTTTAAAGTTACCTCCCCCTGCCCTACATCCTCTACGCAGCAAATATCCAGTAGTTACGACAGCCTCTCCTTGTTACACATCGAAGATAAGAAACAATCACTGGGTGACCATACTAACAGCCAGTCAAGCAGCAAGAGCGGGGCAGCTGTTCAGCCAGGGCGATGGAGCACCATCGCCCAACTCTGCCTTTTGCCAGGTGAACGCTTCCTCGTGCGCGTGGTACACGGGATAACAGCTCGCTCCTCTGAGCGGTCCCCGTTAGCCCACCTGCACATCAGCACACGCCTGATGGTACGATAGCTAAGGAAAAAGACCGAGATGCTCCTTGATCGTTCAAGGGCAACTAAGCTGTAACAGGCAGAGGCCCCCATGGGCAGGACACCCACCCAAATGAAGTGGCCCTCAGCCTCCGTTGAGAATGGCATGGGGATTACCAAGGGGCTGTCGCGGTTGTGCCGTAGATGGACGCAGCCATCGCCCCCTCGGGAGGTCCTCACCATCCCCGAGGCTGCTCGCAGGATGCGGGGGGCGAGACGCTCGCCTTCCGGAGCTGTGGGGGGAAAAGCAGTACGGCGGTGTGCAGTCCTAAACCCCCTTCTTCCGAGTCCTGCCTTGTAAAAGACTACAGCGGCATGCACATTGAATACAGAATAAATCCCAAGGAAACGAGGAGCAGCATGGTCTCGCCGGAGCGGCGAGCAGCCCGCAGAGGATTTTGTCAACCCGGCATAATATTAATCACGGGTAAGTTAACGCATAATGTTTGGTAGGCCAAAAAATACATTTGCACTGTAATTTCTTGTTTGTTTGGAAAGCCAGAGAGAGAAATTGAATGTGAAAGCAATGCCACTAAATTCAATAACAATAAGCCCGTGATTTATCTCCTTCCTTTACCGCTTGAGACCCAAACCAGCCGATGCACCGATTCACACTCCCCGTCGGGTCCAGGCACATGCCGGTTTTTGCCACCGCTCGCGGAACCCATGACACACCGTCCCTCCTCTTACCTCCCAAATGGGAGGCTGCAAATAGCCCTGTGAGGCTGGCCACGGCATCGTGCCTCGGCGACGGTGCCACATCCTGCAATGCTATGTGCCATACTCCGGATATCCCTTGCGAGCATGGCCAAGTGATCCCGGGGACTCTCCCAAACCCCACCGGTCCCAACGCCTCCTCCAAGCACCGGCGGCAGCCTGGTCTCTGCTGCTACTCTGCAGCCAGTCCATCTGGGGACAAAGGCAACCAGATAGCTTGGACACCCAAATGCAAGGAGGGACGGCCACCGCCTTTGCCCAGGGAGGCACGGGTACAGCCCACACCATTAAGGACACCTCTTCCCTGCTAAACCATGAGGGAAGAGATGGCACATCAGTAATCACTGCATGACCATTGACAACACGCGACGCACATGACGAAGCGCAGGCTGACTCATCTCCTGGCTGCTCTTTGGCGCCGATCCTTACCCGAGGCGCTCACCGCCGCGGCAGCTCCAGACTATTTTTAACTGCCAGATCGTGACCACTGCACACCTCAGAGCGGAGACACTGCGCAAGCGCCACCGCCGACACGTGCATCTGACATCTCTCCTCTGCATCGTGTGCTCCCACTCCATTAAGACAGACCTCTCCCTACACCTTGGATAAGGCAAGATGACAGATGGATACCTATGGGCTCTTCAAACTGCCAGACAATAGCCACTCGCCCGCCTCTACTTGGGGGACTGGTGCCTGTAGGGTTGACCCTGCCCACAGAGGGGGACGTTTCATCTTCAGTGCTCTGCGGCAAGGCATGGATGCCGTCCCACCTACAGTGGGCTGTACGCCCACCCCAGCACCTCGCTTACTGCCCCCTCTGAGACACCTCCTTTTGTGGAGGGATGCAGCAATCGTGATGCTCCTTCACCTCTCCGGCTGCAGCAGGGGCCCATGCCCTCCGACGGATGATGCTGTTGCCACCCGGGAGCGGGACCGCCGCCCGAGCAGGGGTCAGATGCCTGCCGGAGCTCGCGCCACCTCCTTCCCCAAACAACCCCGGCTGCCTGGAGCCCTACGCACCTCCGTCTCTGCGTGAGCCTCCCTGCCATAGGCGGGACGGTGCTGTCGGAGGCATCGCCACGCAAGGACTCGTTAGTGTATGGAATGTCAGCAGAAAGAAAGCAAATATGCAGAAAGTTCACGTTGTGCTTATGCTTTCCATCTCCTTCACAGAGGAGAAGCGTGGCAGGATGGCACCGGCAGCCTCTGACCTGTCCCTGCCTGTGTGCTAGGGCATCGCCAAGACAAGATCTTCCCAAGAACGGCTCCTGTTTGAGGCTGACACCCTTAAAGAAGAGATGCAGGCATGCACCCATGAGCCAGCTCCTGGCTGGGGAGCACCTGCTGCCGCATAGAAACGGATGCGTTTCCCCAACTCCGACTCATCTTTGGTTTCATGGTGCAGGCGACGGCTGCAAGGACACACGCGGCAACCCTGCGTGCACACACCTAGACATCCCCCCTAGCCTGCGGGAGAAGCGATGGGGGGCAAGGAGGCAACGGCAGGAGTTTTAACAAAGCGTAGCTTCTCGGCAGCGAAGATTATCGTCTCTGATCAAACCCATTCTGATGACTGCCCAATCCGAGAGCCTCGTCAGAGTTGATTTTATCGAACTAATGGATAAGCACATCCGACAGCTACAGTTTGGTCAACAGAAGGGTCGTTGCCAATTTTCCCAGCCGAGTGAGCGGCGTGCCACAACGCTGCCTCGCACGCTCTACAGGTGCTTCGTTTCAGGGGAGATCTTCCCTTTCCCTTCTCCAGGTCTTAAACGCTCTTTTTTTACAGCCTTCCCCTGGTAAAACACACTTTGTGTGATCCCTTGACAGGAAAGGATCGTAACGGGCGTATTTCCAACACATCCCCTCTGCTGCGGAGACGAGATTTTCCAGCCCGGCTGATATTCCCTCGGCGACCCATCTCTCCCGCTGCCTGTCTGTCTGTCTGCACGCCATTGGAGCGCAGTAGAAAAGGGAGAAAATTAAAAAAAACACACCCAAAACAACCTCCCAACTGCATAGGTCATCCTTCTCCCGCG